TTGCACGCCAAGTCTTTAATGGGCTGATGCACTTATCTGTTATTGCACTAGACTTGTGGTTAAAGATAAATGGTGAAAACACATTCCCTTGGATATTCCTATACAAATGCTGTTCTGTGGTTTAGTCAGGGCAAAAAGACAGAGCTGGAGATCCTTCCTGAAGCCAAACCTGCGACAGGGGAGAGCAAACCTCTGCTGTCCTGTGCCTCTTTGCAGCTCCCCTGCATGGGACACTCATGTGGGTCTGTGGCAGGATTTTTCAGGATGAAAGACATTCTAGAAGACAGTACAGACTGCAAATTATCTTACCAGAGAGAAGAGCCCATGCAGACTCTGCATGAGGGATAGCTGCTTCCTGCCTGTCTGCCAGTGCCCTACCCAGTGTCCCAGCTCCCTGACTTGTGCTGCTCCCTCTTGCAGGAGGCACAGGGGCTTGGAAGAGTGGAGTTGTAGAGACGTGGTAGCAAACCTTGTGTGCTGGGCCTCAGAATGAGCTGTAACAAAATATTTCTGTTATGCCCCAGGCACACCTGCTCTTACAGAAATCCTCTCAGACTCTGTCCCAGCCCCAGGCAGCACCAGCACAGGGAGCGGGCTTCCTCCTGCACCAGCATTGCTCTGTCAAGATGAAGGCAGAAATGACAGCATGATAAAACCTGTCCTGGGGACGTGGGAGGTGGGGCCTCAGCACAGCTTGAGCCATAAATAATCTCCCTACACAGCAGTTAGGGGAACAATTGTGTGGGAGTATCGCTTGGTAAAAAAGATGCTCAGGGAAAGATGGTCTTGAAGGAAAGCAAGAGATTTCTGAGTGGCAGGATGGGCTCTCCAGTGAAGCCAGAGCTTCCTGGGTGGCAGCAGGTCATTCACCAGACCTGCCTCACCATGGTGAGTCACTGCACCAGAGACAAATTTAGTCTGAAACAACCCAAATCACCCGTTCTCTGGTGTAGCCTCCCAGGACAGGCTGGTGCTGCAGCACAGATTTTAGACTGCCCTCCAGCTAATGTATGCAGCAATAAGATGTGATCCCTTCCCCATACCTTCAGACTCAAGAGTCACATGGAGAAAGGTGAAAGGGTGTAAAGGGAAGTGAGAGCAATGAATACAGAGTATTTTATGCAGAACACAGACAGTAAGCCCCAGGCACACAGTCTGACCCAGCACAGGAAGAACAGTCACATCCAGGATTGTGTAAAAGGCCTTGAAGGTCAGGTATAGAGGAGTAATTACAAATATAACCAGAAAACTGATCAAAATTACTGTCATGGGAATGTGTGGAGACAAATTCAAAGGATACACTGAAAGCTTGAATGCAGGGGATTCATGAGTGGGATGCTGCAGAACAGCCCTGTACTTCTGTTTAGCTGGGAGCTTCCCATGCATAATCCTCTTTCAACCTTGACTTGCAGAACTTGGTCTTGCTTTACTTATATCTATATATTTTAGTCCTGACTGTATAGTCAAATTATTTTCTGAATAAGAAGTAGGAAGGTGGCATGTACAGGGAAGAGTTGAACAGAAGTCACCATGTGTTCTTGTTTTACCAGCTTAGAAATGGTGTCTGTGCAATCTCAGCACTGACTGACAGCAGAGCTTACCCTATGAGCTCAATACCTTCTCCCATGCAACCAAGAAGTCCAGCTGTGGTCCATTCCAGCCCTGAGAGTAATGGCTGTCAGACTTATCCTGCAGCCAGAGAAAAAATGGAGCCAGATCCTCTGAAAGAACCTGGTGAGAGTCCAAGAAAAAACAGTGTTGAGAGGCTTTACTGAACTTCTGTCGTACTGCATTCACCTAGCTCTCACATCTAAGAGATGCTGCAGAGCTACTGGTGTCCTTGACAAGATCTTGACAAGTTTCTTCTCCCACTTGAGACTAGTAGAAAACTGTAAAGAAAATGGCCCCAAAGTCTTTGCAAGGCTAAAGGTGTTTAGCCAGCAAGGTGCCAAACCATCACACGAGGTGACAGATCTATCCTAGAGCACTGGGATAATGTTGGCTTGGCATCATATTGATCTTAAAAATAAGTTGTACCCTTGGACAGCATTAGCTTCTGGAAACCCCAGCAGGCTTGCACAAACCCAGCCAACCTCTGAATACACCTCTGACATGGAAATAACTGAATTTTCAATGTAAGGGAAAAGTCAAAAGGCACAAGTGGGGGAGACTTGGCCATTATAGCTAGAAAATCAGTCTCTGGGAAAAAACCCCTTGGGCTCCTGGCTTGAGGCCAGTTCTTCTAACCATAAAACTTCCCCTCCTTCAGGGCCCAGTTTCCTAAATCTCATCTCCACTTCCTAAATGGTGAGGTGATGACTCAAACTGCTTCTCAAGACTCTTCAGAAGTATAGCTGTGCATCAGCACCACCTTGCAGCAGCGGAGCTGGCTGGTCTCTGTTCACTTCAGGGGATGTTCATGAGGTTGAAGATGCCATGCCCTGGCTCTGCAAGCTGCCAGCACCGTATGTTTCCAAGGAATATACCAGAAAGCTGCAGCAGCAGCAGTTGTTGCGGGCTAATCTGCTTCCTCCCCCTGGTGCTCAGCTTGGTCGCTCATCACTGTGGATCAGCTCATGGCCTGGCGCAGCAGCCCTGCTTCCCCCACGGGACATCAGTGGCCACTGGGATAACAAGAGTGCCAGGGAACTGAACAGCGTCCCCTGCGTGCTGAGGGTGCCTGTGCAATACACTCCCCCAGCTGTCCTGCAAGGACTGCAGGTGTCACAGCCCAGCACTCACCAGGTCCAGCTCAGAAAGCTATTTTGGCAGACCTGTTTGAGGTATTATGAATCACCCTTAAAAAGGAGACTTACAGACACCTCTCAAGAGAAATGCAGACCCAACTTTGGCAGAATATATTCCAACAGAAAGGTTGAAGCTTGCTGCAAATCTTGATTGAGCAGAGCAGAACAAAGCTCTGGTTCTTCAAGCTTGTCTTCTTTGAGCTGTCCTTCCCTGCACAGCTACGGTGGACAACACCCCCCAAGCCCTGTACTGCAGTGCTGTACAGCCATCTCACCACTGCTCTGCACACAGGAAAACCTGATAGACAAGAGCACAAAACCAGTACTGGTTTGGGATCCTTACCATTGGTGTAGACCTAGGTTGCTGAGTTCACTGAACATCCTGATGGTGTCTCAGCACACACCTCTACAATACACTGACAGTATCTGATGCTCTTTCTGCATCTGCAAACAACCTGTGGGCAAAACCCCAGAACAATATGAACATACCACAGCTGGAAAGTATCCATAATCCCTAGTACCTCACACATATGTCTCAATAGCTGTAGCCAGCCAACCCCTCACAGGCCAAGAGCTATCAGGCCCTTGGGGCCCTTATTAACCTTGGCCCTACCCAGCCACATGTCCAGCTTCTACCACTCCTGCCCACAGGCCCAGTGATTCTGTACATTAAGGGACTCTGCCAGGTGGCACTTTTCCACTTCACAGCGGGAAGTCAAGAACACAGTGCTACCACCACAGGGAAAGAAAGAGCTGTCCCAGGACATGGCCAAGGGCATTCTCAACTACAACAGAAAATTAAAAACCCTGCATCACTTGTCCTTTAAATGAGAAATGCACAGTGCTAACTCAGAGAGCCACTGGAATCCTTGAGGAGCAGGTGCTACGTGTCCTGGGGCAGCCAGGGAGGGTTGTTTCCCCAGGAGGAAAGAAGACCTTTCTGCAAACCATCTTCTATGTTTTGAGGAACTGAGCAGAGCAGGGTGCACAGACAGATCATTGCTTTCCAGGAAACTTGGGACCAGGGATTTGGGATTTGTTTACTGTGTGTGGGCCCTGCTCTTTTGCGAGGTGGTTTTTTTTTTTTTTAAGTTTCTATGCCCGCAGTAATCAGCAGCTTGCTGCTATGCTGCACAAGTCAGCGGGTCTCAGTCCCGAGACGGAGATGGGGTCACACGCCCCGTGCCGGCTCGGAGGTGCGGTGTGCGAGTGCCGCCCCGACGCGGACCGGCTGCCCGCCGCTGCCCGCTCCGCGAACCGACAGCGGGGAGGAAGGAGCGGCGTCCGTTTCTACGGGGTCGTTATGGCAACTGCGCGGGCTGGAGCCCGGGCCGCCGGCGTGCGGGGGCTGCGGGCAAAGGCCGGGACCCCGCCCTGCGCCCGGGGCTGCGGAGGCAGGTGGGGCACCGGCGGGGGAGCGGAGCGAGGAGCCGCTTGGCAGCGAGGGAGGATGCGGGCTGGGAGCGGCGGCCCGCGGGCAGCCCCGGGGCGGGCACAGCCCGGTACCGGCGGAGGAGCGCGGTCCGGCGGCTGCCGGTCGGGGGTGTTATGAGAACCGTGAGCTCCAGGGATTGGCCTTTCCCGGGGATGCGGGCAAGGGCGGCACGGGCCGCTGGGGGAGCGGCGGAGCGGGCAGGTCTCGGGGAGGTCCGGCGGGGCCGTCGCTCACCGGCAGCGGCGGGTCCCGCTCCCGTGGTGCTGAACGGACAGCGGCGCCGCGCTGCGCATGCGCGCCGCCCGCCGGGGCAGGGGCGTGCGCTGGGACCGGGCAATGGGGACAGCCGGTGTGAGCCGGGAACCGGGCAGCTGCGGGGCTGGGCAACCCGTGTGCGCCCGGGAACTGAGGCCGTGGGGAACTGAAGCGGCTGGTGTGCGCTGGGATCTCGCGTGCGCTGGGGAAACGGGATAGCCGAGGAACTGGGACAGGCGGTGTGCTCTGGGGAACCGGGGTAGCTGCGGGGCTGCAGCCACCGGAGTGCGCCGGGGGACTGGGGCCATGGGGAGCTGGTGTGCACTGGCGATCTGGGATACATGAGGAACCGGGACAGGCGCTGTGCGCGGGGGAGCGGGTGCGCCCCGTGAGCTGGGCCAGCAGAGCCGGTGTGCGCGCCGCGCCGCTGGGAGCAACCTGCGGGAGTCGCTGCGGCACCAGTGGGACCACGGTGTCCCGTTGTCCCGCCGGCACGCCCCGCCGCGGTCCGGCGCCCCCGGGCCGCTCCCGGTAGCGGGGCGCGCGCACTTCCGCCCGCCGCCGTGACGTCACGGGCGGCCGCCGGTGTCCAGGGCGGGTGCGGCGCCGGATGGAGCGGCCCGGGGAGCCCCGCCGGGGCCGCAGGTACCGGGGAGCCGGGGAACTTTTGCGAGGTGGGGGCACGGCATGGCATGGCACGGCATGGCATTGCAAGGCAAGGCAAAGCAAAGCAAGGCTGGGCTGCCGCCTCCCCACGGCGCGCTGTGGCGGGCAGCGGGACGGTGTCCCGGTCCCGGCGGACGCCCGCAGCGCCGGCGGGGCAGCCCGGGAGCCGCTCTGGGGCCGAGTGAGGCCCCTTGGGACGGCGGGGCAGGAATGGCCTCGGGGGAGGACTGTGCTGGGGCCGGGTGTGAGCGCGGCCTCCAGCCGGCGCTCGGTGGCTTTGGGCTGCCGGGACCCCCCGCTCCTTCCCCCCGCGGCCCGGGCCGCATCCCCGCAGGGACGCTGGACATCCGCTCCTCGGAGGGAGGCTCCTCCGGGGAGCCCCGAGCCTTGTTTCTCCCGCGGGAAGGAGCAAGCGCCTGGTCTGTCCCCCTTGCAGGTGTCCCAGCGGCACTGGACGCTGGCTGACAGGCAGAGCGATGCTCGGACACGATGCTGGGCACAGCTGCTGTGCGATGGTGCGGTGACACTGCAGCAGCTTCTTGCTGCTTCACTGAGGGACAGGGCCTCCTTCAGCAGCTGATGGAGAGCCCCACCCAAGCTCTCCTGCAGGGCACTGTGGGCAGGTAGACGCGGATGCCTGAGCAGTGAACGTCCCAGGCTGGGAGGTGGTGATGCAGGTGGCAGGCACGTGCCCTGCTGATGGCTCGCCAAGGGGCTGTTCGCCGTGGGCCGATGGTGGGAATCATCTCTGAGTCTTTCTTTCTGGCTGTTCCTCCTAGAGGCACCCGGCAGTAGGTGTGAGCTGATCTTGCCTGGCTCCTGCAGTAGCCTGGCTCTCTGGTGTCTGATGATGAGTGTGACCCCGACCAGGGGATGCCTCCTGGACCTGCCCTGGGAAGACATCTTGGTTCCACACATCCTCTGTCATCTGCCACTGCAGCAGCTCCTGAGCCTGCAGAGGGTCAGCAAGTCGTTCCAGTCTCTCATCCAGCTGTACCTGGCCAACATGCGCTGCTTTGACTCAAGCCAGGTATTGGATGGCTCTGAGGCTGGGGGAGGACACAGATGTCCTACTGCTTTGGAACTAATAGGGGAGCATCTATGTGGGGAGAAGAAGCCCTTGGCAAGGAGTGTAGTTTCTGCTCAGAAGCTTGGGTTAATAGTTCAGGTGTCAAACTGGACAGATGGGCTTAGGCAGGAGAGGCAGTGATTCAGGCCCCAGCAATGCCAGTGTCTTGAGTAAGAGACCCTGGGAGGAGTAAGCCTGGAAACTCCACCCAGGCCATTATGGAGCACTGGCTGGCATGTCCTGGCTCCAGCGTTTTGGAGTGGCATGTCCTCATGAAAGTTGTGCAGTAGGTTGGGTCTGACAGGAGAAAACTCTGTGCTTGGTCTTCAGGGAATATTTGTGCTGTTCCTGGGAGCCACTGCCTGGGACTGGGAAAGACTGGAGTAGCTGCTATTCGAGGACACAGAGTGGTCTAGCAAAGAGATTTTTGGAGAGCAGAGGTGTGGAGCTCATCATGAGGATATAAGTGCAGGAGTGATAATGTGGGATGGAGAAGCCAGAGTATCACCTAGCTTGTGGCAGTAGCGTTGGCATGAGGTGAGCCAAAGTCTGATGGTAGGGTTTGGCCTGGGATGAGGACAGGGCTTTGGTCACTGTTGTCACAGAAGAAGAGAGGAGGCGAGAGAGTATTTGGTGAGGACCAGGCTTACCTGAAGCCCTGGGGGGATGCCTCATTCTTCCTGGGTTCCCCACGCAGATTGGACCTGCCATCCCTCGAGCCGCTTTTGTTAACCTGTTGAAGGACAACGAAGTTCTGCAGCAGCTGTCCCTCCAGAACTGCTCCGACTGGCTGACGGACCAGGAGCTGCTCCCGGTCATCGGGCAGAACCGCCACCTGCAGCAGATCCAGCTGAAGGGCTGCGCCCAGCTCAGCCGCCACGCGCTGGTGGCCATCTCGCTGAGCTGCCCCAACCTGCGCCAGCTCTCCCTGGCTCACTGTGAGTGGGTGGACAGCCTGTCCCTGCGCAGCCTGGCTGACCACTGCAGGGCGCTGGAGGCCGTGGACCTGACGGCCTGTCGCCAGCTGAAGGACGAGGCCATCTGCTACCTGGTGCAGAAGTGCAACAGGCTCAAGTCTCTGTCACTGGCTGTCAATGCCAACGTGGGCGACGTGGCAGTTGAGGAGACTGCCAAGTGCTGCCCAGAGCTGGAGCACTTGGACCTTACAGGGTGTTTACGAGTCAAGAATGACTCCATCAGGTACTGAGTAATGTGGGGGGTCAGGGTGGGGATGGTAGGTGTCTGGGATGGGGAGAGGAAGAGAACCAGAGAGGAAAGTCTTATTTCTTCACGCTGAAAGCAGTGAGAGCTTAGTCTGGGAGAGAAGCCACTAGCAGGCCCTTCAGGGGAAGCACTGTGTGCTATGGAGAACAAATTTCCCAGCATATCATGGAGGATAGGTCTGGGATCCAGATGTCCCTTGACTTTATCTCATACCACCATGGTGCTGCCCCCAAAGGATGGTGCATGTATGGCACAGTCACGAGGCTGCTGGGAGTAAAGAGGAGTGTGAGTGGTGCACTTAGGAGTCCTGACTTGCAACTTGCATATGCTGTCTTTCTTGGCAGGGTCCTGGCTGAGTACTGTCCCAAGTTGCGCTCGCTGAAGGTCAAGCATTGCCACAACGTGGCTGAGTCCAGCTTGAGCATCCTCCGAAGCCGTGGGGTGGAGCTGGATGTGGAGCCTCCGCTGCAGAGGGCTCTCGTTCTGCTGCAGGATGTGGTTGGCTTCGCCCCTTTCATCAACCTTCAGATCTAGAACTGCTGCTGCTGGGGAGGGGGGGACTGACACCATGCTGGGATCCCAGAAGGATGCCGGAACTGGCTGCTGTAGACGTGCAGAGGGAGAGGTCAGTCCCAGTGGTGAGGCTGGCCTGAGCGGGGCTCACTCTTTCCTCTGGGGCTGTGTAGCAGCCACTGAGTGTTCATAAGTGGACTTCATCGGTGCCTCTGGGGAAAGGAACTCCCTCTGCAGTGGCGTGGAAAGAGCGAGTGATTTGCAGGAACACCGTGGTGCTGAACAGGTGCTTGGTCAGGCCAGCTAATAGATAGGACTTATTATTTGTTGTATTTTAAATCTTTAAGCAGCAGCTGTCCAGAAAGCAGGGGCGTGTTTAATGGGGACTATCCCCTGGGGTGAGTGTGCAGGGCATGCCAGCAGAGCTGTGCAAGAAACCAGACCAGCTGGAGCAGAAAGAATAGCTACCAGCCCTCCTCTTAGGAGAGGGCAGGCCCCTCTGGGCTCTGGGAGGAGGGCAGTGAGCCCAGCTCCAGCCCACAGCCACTGGCTAGCCTGGCACCAAAGGACTAGCATGGCCCCAGTACAGGCAGGGTGTCTGCCCAGGCCTGGCGTGCTGGTTTAGGCTGGAACAAGGTGAGAGTTGTTTACAGGGGGAATATACTCCAAATGGCAGTTTGACTGACAGAAAAATGCCAAACCTAGCTGTGCTGTCACTGAAAGCAGTTGGTCATTGTCATTTGTTTCTTCCAGCATCTGACTTAATATTTTAGTAGTGCCCAGGCCTGCTACTGTATTTGCTCCCTGTTGTGTGGCTGGAGCTTTGGCTCTCAACAGAGCTGAGAAATGGCAGGAGCACTGACTGCCATCAGCTGGAGTTCATGGAGAGAGCTGCAGATTGTGTTGGCAGGGGGAGCCTAGTCCTGGAGTTGAGCCTAAGCCCTTTTATCCGCTAGGCAATTAATCAAACAGCAGCTGCATCTTGAGAACGTGATGAAGAGAGTAATTAGAGGAAGAGAGGATGACACTGCTCCTGTCTTTGGAGGCAGTGTTTTAAAGCATGTGCAAGCTCTGGCTGAACTACACACCAACTCACATCATCTTTATTAATACTGGCACTCAAAGCAACAGTGCACAAAGACTTGTTAAAAAGGTTGCTGCAACAGCACATGCCACATCTCAGATCTAAAAATGTGCCATGCAAGGAATAGCAGAGAATGCCCAGGTCCTGGAGAGCCACTGTGGTGTGCCCCTGGGGGCAGAGGGATAGCTACACAAGGAGAGAAGTCTCCTCAGCCAAGTTAGTTGAGGAAGCTGAAAGCAGTGTCCTGGCTTCCAGGTTAGTTCAAGTTAGTGGCAGGTGGAGTCACCTCATTCCTAGCACCACACATCCATCCTGCCATGCCTGGCAATGAGGTGGAAGGCTGAAGAGCAGGAGGACTTGGCTGTCAGTGGAACTTATACTTCCTGGCTGGTTTTAGGCTGATGTAGGTTCTCTTCATCTCCTCACTCTCAGGCTTCTTGATGTCTTTGTACCTCTCTCCTTTTGTGCTCACCACCTGGTTATCAATATAGCGGATCAACTTCTTGGGAGCCTGGAGAGGAAAGATATGAACACCAAGTGGATGGACAGCCGCTGGTAGAGATATGGAAGGGACAAGCAAAAGCAGACCTGCACTATGGGAGGTGGGTGGGCTGCTTTGCCATTGTCTGTGTTGGGAATCTTGGCCAAAACTGGGAAGGATGCTATCTGATGGGAGGGAGCAAGAGCCATGGTAGTCAGGAAAGGTAAGAACTGACATTTCCTGCAGCACCTTAGCTGAGCTCATCTTCCCTCTTTGACTGACAGGTTCTATGAACGGACCTACCTTTGGCCTGCCCTGTTGTTGTTTTGGACTTGCAGCCTGGTTTTATTTTAAAGCTTGGGACATTCAAACTCTTGGTGAGCTGGGCCTGCTTACCTCTTTGGGTGGAGCTGGCCGATGTGTTTTCTGATCATCTGCACTATCCACCATCATGTATCTGAAACACAAGAAGCATTCAGTGAACATACAATGTAACATACATTGCTGGGGGCTACTCACAGCCTATGTCCCTATCCCTGGCTGGGACTAGCCTTTTGTGTCCTACTTGCCTAGACTGCAGCTAGGAAAACTTGATGTTCCCCTCTGGGTGAAATGGGCAAGAAGTATGTCACCCTTCTGGTGAGAATCTAGTGGGATTCTGCTGGAGTAGCATCCTTAGCTGTATGTGAAAGGTATTGAAAACTCAGGTGGTTGAGAAAGCTGATAGCCACTGCAGAACTGAGAGAGGTACTGAGGTCTGGTGTGTTCTCCCATCAGGGCATCTTTGTTCCTTCTCAGTCCAAGTGATGGCAGCCAAATGAAACATAGGTGAGATTACAGGACCAATCTGTCTGCTTTTGCCCTGAATGATGGTGTTCCTTTCACACTCCTCCTACTACTTGACTGTGAAACAGGTCTGTGCTGGAAGCAACTTGATAAAAGCATCACCTCACTTCCCATGTAACTGAAACATCAGGGTCCAAGCATTTGCTTGCTGTACTGCTGAGTTGCTACTCTGAGATTTTGGTGCTGGTTTAGCACAGGTGACCATGACTTCTCCCTCAGTAGTTAGTATAGTAACTCTTGTGTATCTTCAGCTATGGCGATCTGCTTTCTGTACCTGTGCTTGAGTGATGTTTAAAGTACAGGATGTTGCCAAAATGTCATTAAAGTGAAGTTCTCAGAAACATAACAAAAAGCTGGTGTTTTTTTGTTCCCTTGCCTGTCACTCCGAAGTGAGCCTGCACAGGAGATGGGCAAGGACAGGGATTACTACTTCTGCCTGGATGCTGTTCTGCCTTACTTTATCTTTCCTAGCCCACTGACTGTTTATTCTGTCCCTGGGGAGAATGTAAAGTGGAAAAGATGTGGCTGGATAGACATGTGGAAGCTGCATGCCTGCATGACGATACTCATGAAAGATGAGATCTTAAAGCAGATAGATGAAACCACAGTGTGGGTTCTCCCATTGAGAATTAAATGCTTTTAGAAATGAATGTAGGTAAACTAATCTAAAGCTACTTTCATTCCCAAGAAATCTATAGGCGGACTTCAGAGAAGTTTCTTTAAATGCATTGAATTCACACCTTCAGCAGTTGAGATTTAATCTTCCCAGTGCTGTTGTACAGGCAGTCTCTTGAAGGTATCTTTAACCTTGTTTGGACTGTCTCCAAGAATGGAGGTACGAATGAGTTACTGTAGTTCCACAGGTCACCATGTGTTTGTTACCTGAGCTGCAGCATGATGTTTGTGCCTTGAACCTTTAACCAGGACCTCAGCTAAGAGCACTGTGACTTACACTGTTTCTATAGGTGGCTGAAACCTTGCACGCAGCCAGTGCTGTGACCCAGCTGGTACAGGTCACGTGTTTCTGTGCCAGAGCTCTAAAAGAAACCAAACCTGTTCTGTTGTTTAGGTTTTGTGGGTTGTTTGTTTGGGTTTTTTTGTGTATGTGTTTGGTTGGTTTTTTAATTTTTTTTTTCTTCTTCCCAGCTGATGATTGTATTTTTGCTTACATGTGTTCAGCCAATACTTACCCCTAGTTCTTTAGAGACCACACTGTTCCCCAAACTGCTACCTCTTCACTGATTTGGAGCAAAACAAGGGGTTCTTTGCTGCTGGTACTTACTTCTGTAGGATGACCTGTTTTAGTTCCTCATGGTTGGGCGCTCTGCGGGGCCGTGTCAGTTCCTGGGAGGAGACAAGTTGGTGTGTGAATAGCACAACAGGGCATACAGCTTACCTGCTAGCTCAGTGAACCCAGCTGCTGGTAGAGCACTCCAGGGGGAAGGGGTGCCAGCCACAGCTCCACTGGGGTCCTGGCTTGGTTGTGGGCATAGCCTATACTAAGAAAGCCAGGGGAGGGAGAGGAGCTGTGGCTCTGCATGATCCTCCTGACTTATTGTGCATAAAGTTTCTGCAGTCAAAATTTTTGCTTGTAGCAGACACCTGTGGCACCTGTATGTTTCTGAGCTCTGCCCTGCTCCTTGGCCCACTGCCACCCTGGTCAGAGTACAGTACCTTTACACTCGCACCTGCTGGGCCAATTTCCACCTTCTCCTCCACAATTAACTGCACTGCCTCTTCCAAGTTCCCCAAGGTCATGGCAAGAGCCTTCTCTGCCTGGCTCACGGTACAAGCCGGGAACATCTCCAGTAGCAGCTCCACCCCATCCTTCAAGTCAGCACCTTCCTAGTTGGAGAAAGAGACAGAGGTAAGTTGGGGATGCAGTGAAGAGAGGAAAGGGCCTCTGGTTTTTCATGGTCAGGAAATTTAGCTTGCCCTTTGCTGAAAGCTCTCTCTCCTTATCATCATTACTAAATCTGATTCTTGAAACTAACAGGGGACTGTATCTTTGGAAAGACCAACTCCTCTCACTCTCCTTTAATCTCCTCCCTCTGTATTTCACCTTGCTTTGAAGCAGGGCTCCTGTCACCCGACTCCTCTGTGTGGCCATGCTTAAGAGTGAACTTCCTGGACCCTGTGGTGTGAATGCCTGACTCCTGCCCACCTTGTGATGTTATATGTACTTTGATTAGAAAGGCAAGGGCCTGCTAAACACTGACCTGATGCTACATGAGAAGGAATCACCATAGCAGATTTACTAAAATGCTGTGGACACAGAATGCTTGTACTGCAGAGCAGGAATAGATCAGTACTGGAGAAACAGCAAGCAGAGTGTGGGGGAGGAAGGTGGGGTTGATGTAGAAAGTACTGCAGTACCTGTAGCTGCTGTGGGATCTCTGGAAGCACTGGGACATGCTCTCTCAGCCATTGCTCTTGCTCACCCTTTCCAGCCACGGAAAAGGATGAGCCAGAGCATTGGCTCACAGTCTGTCAGCACAAAATTTTCTGACAGTCTTGCTCAGGCCATACAATGGAGAAGATCATGGACACAAGTGATGCTGTGTCACAGCCTATGCTGTGGTTCCTTCCAAAGCTGGAAAATGCCCTCAGGTGGTGCTGGTAGCCTAGTGCTGTGTGAGTGTCCCCATTGTTGCTGTCCTCTGCGGGGTACTCATACCTGGGCCCCGGCTCCGTCTGTTAGAGTGCACAGTCTTTCCCCGTTGCAGGCTCCAGCTCCAGCCTCCTGGCCCTTGGTGAGATCTTCAGAGGGCGCTTCACTCCTGCTTTCCACAGCCTTTTGGCCAAGTTTTTCTTAAAGACACAGTGATATCTCCTGAGGAACAGTCCCACTAAGGCTAGAGCTCTGTGCTTTCTGTTGGCATTAGACTGCTAGTGCATTGTGCCAAAGCAAATCTCTTCTTAAGTGAC